GGGAAGAAACCTCGGGAAAGCCCATTCAAAGAGAGGTCCCCTTTCCTGGGATGGCTGGGGAGGTTACAGGAACTCCCGGATAGCAAAATTTAGAATAGGCCAAAAAAACTAAAAACAATCTTTTTCTGTAAAAAAGACAAAAAAAGAAAGTTAGTTAATGTATCACACTTATATGATAAGATATGAAGTGTGTGTCCTTTTTTTTTTTTTGCCTGTCCCATTTGGTTCTTTAGCCGTCAGAATTGTTGTCTGAAGACCAACAAGGATACCCAATGGATTTATTTTGCCAAATGGATCATCATGGTATTACCGTATTGGTCCATTTGATCGACAATATATGAAGTGTGTGTCTGTGTGTGAGAGACGGATTTATCTGAGCCAGGGGTGAAGCTGGAGGTCCCCCAGCGTTGGGCGCTTCTCCGGGACGTTGGTTAAACATGCGTCCAAGAAGTTCCGGCAGTCTGGAGAGAAAGAAAGGAGAAAAAAGATGAAGATGATAGTTCCAGTGATCCAAGCCATCAGTGAATGTTGAAGCGTGACGTTTTCTTACGTGGGGACAGATCCTTGTTGAATTTCAGTTCCTTTTGGAGGAACGTCATGGTATTAAAGTCCCCCACATGAAGCGCTTCATACAGCACCACTCCCATTTGCCACACCGTGGTGGGTCCAGCCCTGTATTTTTTGCGTCCGTAACATTCGGGAGGGGTGTGAATAGGTGTACCTAATAAACAGACACAATGACAATTTCTTGTAAAACAAAAAGGCACAAATTGCTACATGTGTGAAGAGCAGGAGCTGAATATGTTACCGTAGAAGAGGCGGTACACCGATCGCTTCTTAGCAAAGCAGCTCAGTCCAAAGTCGATGATACGAACACGAGGCACATCTGAGCCGGTCTCAATCAGAATGTTCTCACTCTTGATGTCCCGGTGAAAGATGTGTTTATCCTCCAGGTCCTTTGCTGCATCAACCAGCTGCTTCAGAATGACCTGGAAAAGATGAAAAAGACAGTAATGAGTCAATGGGTTGATGCTTCTCTGATACTCTGTGCTTTGATTGAATGCTGTACAGTCTAAGGCTCTTCCAGTCAACTTACCTTGGCCTTTTCCTCTGGTAAACATCCTCCATTTTCAGTTATGTAATCATGCAGGTCCACAGCGGGGAGAGGTCTCTCCAGCACCAGGATCAGCTCTGTGCTGAGGTCAAACCTGTCACGGCCGAGGCCGCCTCAAAAGAGAAAGGACTCAAATGCTGGACGCCGCACAGCACGTAAGTAGTTTTAGAGACAACGTTCATTTTCTCAGTAAGTTTTCATAAACAGGAAACTGGAATGTGTGTTTAACAAGTGCAAAATGCCACAACTAAACCAAAGGGGTTTTAAGCAGCCTGGGCTAAGTAAGCAATCTGGTGTTGGTCAGTGGAAACAGCAGTTCCAGGGATTGGGCTGGAGGGAGAGTCAAACTGGGTCCAGGGTTAGGGTCAGAGTCACTGTAAATACAGTACAGACGTTCAGGTATGGTTCAGGAGGAATATGGGCAAGCTGTTCGTTCTGAATTTTCCTTAGCACTGCGTACTTGCCGCGGGTGGTCTGTAGTGGCGTGGAGGGGTGGGTGGTCCGGGTGAGTGGTGCGAAATTCCTGGCGTTGAGGCAGGGAGGCAGGAAAGTTAGTCGGGTAAACAGCCCGTGAGACTGTCAGGTGGTCCAGCGTCCGGATTGGAGCTCTTCGGCGGAGATTTGTGTCTGGCAACTTGGTGCGTGGCTGTGAGAGAAACACACAATGAGACAAGGTAGTTTACAAAGCGTGTGCGAAATCACAGTGGTGGCCTGCACTAACTAGAGTTAGCTGAGTATCTGGCAAAGAGAGGTTGCGTGCGCTGGCCTTATGAGTCCCCGGCTTAATTACCCACAGGTGTGAGCAATCAGCAGAACACTGAGGCCCCTCCCAGGGGTGCAGATGCCAACTCGGAGGGAGACACCCTGGCACGCACCCGGACCATGACAAAACCAGTCCAACAGAGACACGGGTGCTGACGCTCCCACTGGTCCATCCGCTTCAGCTGCAAGCTTCAGCATAATGGCCACTTCCACCGAGACCCGCTTCCCGTTTTCACCCTGATATATTCCAACAAAGTGGATGATGAGGAAGAGATGTTCCACAGGTGAACGCTGCACTCAGTCCAGGAATGTAAAAACAGT